ATCTCTTAAAGTTTGATTACAATAAAAGTCAAAAATAAATTGATCACCAATCTCACGCGAGTGAAACAGAAACTTGAAAAATGATTCATCGACTATATTTGAGTCTTTTAGTATTCATTTGTCGTTTTGTCACGGTCGTATAAGGATTGCCGAATCCGACACATTCTTACTTTATTTGGAACATGGACAAATCGGAAGATTAAATATGGACTTACGCCCAAAGGCTGGTCATTTGTTTGCAATGACTGGTTACATGCGTCCGCATATTTAACCAACTGGTTTAACAATACGCATGCAAGACGAAAAATCTCGAAGAACGTAAGAATTCAAGAATATGAAGAATAACGGACGACATACTCGGTAAAAAGAGTGCTGCGACAAACATCATGAATGAAATAAACTTGTAATGCAAATTAAATGATTATTTTACTGTCATTTCTTGTTTTAAACTTTTGAACGAAGAAATTAATGTTTAAAAATATACATAAGAGTTTGTGTTGCGTGATGAAAAGCCAACAGTTTTTAAGATAAGGAAAAGGTTAGAACTGTGATATCGTTGATAATTAAATTATTTCTCTTTAAAGTAAAATAATTATATGGTAAAACATAAGCTGATAAATACATATCAATAATAATAAAATACAATTTCTTATATTTTTATATTTGAAATCAAAGATTGTTAACCCTTAACGGACTAATACCGCCATAGAGGCGGCATGCCACTTTTACTTACTGAATCCAATGCCGCGTATATGACAGCAAAAATTATTTTATTATTTTTAACGCTGCCATTGTTGTAATATTTACAATTAACAAGTTAAGCGTTGTGCTTAACATCTTAACAATTACAGTGATCACTCGCAAATTCATTTATCCAACAATTCAACGTATCCTTCATAAAGGATTAAAAATTATAGTCATTGGCACAAATGTTTAATATTTGATGTGACATAAAATGTGAACTTGTTTTGATACCTTTGTTAACTTTAAAATACGTTCAAAACCTGGCAATCTAGACAAAGTAAATTACACAAAGATCGATGTCAAGCAAAACAATGTTTTGATATTTTAAAAAATTCTTGTCATTCATCTTAAGCCGCATTGTTCCTAGATATAAAAATGTTGTAAACACGCGTTTTGTTCAGAATAGTTTAATTAAAAATTTTATGAATAGCGCTATCGAAGATGAGTGATAATGATAAAAGATAGCGATTACGATAAAAGATGCATCACTCGACTCAAGAATGATGTGATCACGTGACTTATAAGATTACCCGTAAGCCCCTTTAATTATGTGATCAACACTACATAAATACGTAGTTATATTTTTCGATCAGTAGGTAGTTTACGATACTGGGATTTCACAAGTTTTGTCCTCTATTACTTAAATAATTAAATTGTATTAAACAACAAAATCTTTATGAAAAAATTATACACGTACTACTAATTTCGTAAAGTTTTATAACATATCTAAATATATGTTTAGAAATTAAATGCCTTTAATTTCTTTTCCTGTTTACTCGGCGAAGGCAATGAAATATTAAATGAAGTTGTTAAAAGAATGACCGGAGATAAAAATCATCAAATTAAGCCGCTTAATTTTATAGTTTCCAATTCAATCCTGATGGTAGAGGATTTTTAAAGAAAAATAAGTTTGCGCGCGATATTTATATACAGTGACTCTGAAAACGGTTGCAATGATTAGAATTATTGATTAAAAATTTTTTAAATATCACATAAATGCTTTTGGAAAATACATACTTTATTGAAAATTAAAGTAATATTATAAAACTTTGAAAGATACATAAAATAATAATTTTCCCTATCAACTTCTTACAGAAAGAAAATTTGCACTATATTTTCTAGACCTTGTTTTGAAATCATACGAAATTTCCTATTAGTATTAGTACTGGTATATTAATATTAGTATTAGTACAGATTCAGCTTCAATATCGGTAAAAAAATAATTAAAAAACTTAAAAACTTTCGTGTTATAAGCAACTCACTTTTCAGTTTTTTGCTTATAACACAAAGGTTTTTAAGTTTTTTAATTATTTTTTTTACCGATATTGGAGCTGAATATGTATCAATAAGAAATTTATGAAAAAAATGTTCATGATATAAAATAAAGAATTATACGAAAACTTTAACACTAAACGTACTTCCCTTCCCTAACACTGAACTATTCCTATCGTAATCAGTTAAATACTTGGTTATCAAATCAACGTAAACAAGTCAGGTGATAAGTTATTCTTAGTGAAAACAGAACAAGAGGAAAGACAAAATTTAACGAACCAATTAATTGATAATATAAGAATTAATACAAAGTTAAATGAGCGAAAGGGAATGCAGAATTTTAAATCAAATTTCAAAACCGGTGATTTGACCGGTCGCGGTATTTACGTTTGATATTAATACTAGCAAGCAATTGAATTGCCTATTTCTAATTTTTTTATTGGAACGCTAAAAGTGCATCTACTGAGATTTCGACTGTATTACGAAAACAATTTCTTCGATAATTCTTTACGGAATGATTTGTTATCGTTTCAATATTTGAGGAATAAGAAATCAAGGACGAGTCATGTTAACCCGTCTGGTAGTTATAGTGTTAATCATTGAATCAGTTTTGCTGCTTATTATACACGCGATCGGTTTAAAAAAAAACTGAACATGATCCATGAAAGTCGCTGCTGCTCCTTATACGCTCTAATGAACTGGATATGAAAATAGAATATTATAAATGATAAAACGATGTTCGATAAAGGAAAACTAGATAATGGTACTTTAAAGCGTGGGCAGTTATCGCAGAGTCCTACTTTGTGAGATCGATCTTCTCGAGTGGTTAAAGACGGAACACAAAACGAGAAACCATCTGGATATAGTTCGATTGGATCTATTTGTGCCGAATAAGCGTCTCGACTACTAGACGCGTCGTCCCGCGACCATATAATGTACAACGCGAACCTCTTACTATTCGACATCCGGCGATTTTATGTCCTGACAGATAAAATACGGCGCCGAGGTGGACTGAATCTAATTTTGTCTCATTAAAAGTGCAAAAATTTGAGAAAATATTTGCACACGGGGTGCTGCACTTCGTATTGGTATATTTAACCATCGCGTGAAGGTTGTCTGAGTCTATTTTGACCTAGATTTTTGAGGACTTCAAATGAAAACGTTAGGTGTAAGTAAAATTAAATGAATGAATAATTATATATGATTATGAATGATTGTATTGGACTTAATAACAAGATCGACACATTTCGTAGAAATAGGTCTGAAAAAATAACGAAATTTTGGTAAGTAGATAACAATTTGAATGATCTAAGACAATGCTGCTCATAAAGTCGTGAAAAATGTTCTTCAAGGATTAATCACATTTTTGTGAATGAATTTTTTGCGGATATTTTTTAAACTTTGTTGAAATAGTGGGTTGGATTTAATTGCAAATTATTCGATTTTCAATGAACCTAACCTGCTGGTTTACAGTCTTTCTACACTTTTACCCATTTTTTGTATCAATCTATTCATCTTTTTCGCAACAACTTAATTTTATGTATATATTGTATTCTGTTAATAGTAATATCGTTATGATCTTAACTAAAATAATACTATGATTAATAAATAATAATTCGAAATATAATTCAATAAATGAAATATAATATACAAGTAAATATATTTCATTAAGTATAATTTAAAAAGTTTTAGCTATGGTTAAAAATATTTTTATGTTACTTTATAAAATTTGCTTCCATAATTTTGAAAGTTTATAGATGCTGTTACAAACTTCATAATATAAAATAAAAATACACTGCATTCTTATTTAATTTAAAATATATTGATAGATTATTTATTACTATATTTTAATTATCGTGGTTATGATATAATTAGTATTTTTCGAAAAATTTCTTTTTTATGAAGCTCTTAATAGCATCATTCGATTACTTTATGAAATATTTACATACAATAATTCAGTGACATATTTAGAGTTGGGTTATATTTCTTGAACATTTTTTTTCTTTCATTACACATTCGAAATGCGGACAAGATTATCAAACATTTTTTATTTTGAAATGTTCTTCCGTGCAGGCGCTCCGGTGAAAGTAGTGCAGCCGAGTGAAAGTAAAATTTATCACATCGTGCCTTCGAAGCCGCATAAAGACGATTAATTAAACAACAAGATGGGCCAATGCAACCGTTTAAAGAATAAGAAAGGGGGATCTCATTTCTTTTGATGAAAAATATGAATTCTGTAACATTTTTCCTAGAAAAAATTATGAATATCTTTATTTGAATCGTTGCATACATTTTTACTATACTTTCATTGAATTTTATGGATCTTTCCGTTTGTATTTATTCAGAAATATAGCTTCTACAGCCCATAAATCAAAATGGTACTCATTTCATGGTTGACATGATATCTAACCTTAATATCATCTAAAATGAAAAATTCCCATAATCTTATTTTGGTATAGATGTAGCTATCCTCTGATATAAAAAAATCTTATTATTTGAAAAGTGAATAAACAATTAGTTGACAAACAATTTTTGTCAATTGAAAAAAGTATACGTGATATTACCTTATCTGTGGGTCAAACGACATTAAGATTCCTTCTTAATGAATAATCCAAATTTTAAATTGATAAGTCCAATATTTTTCTTGTAATAAAACTATTTATGAATAAACTCAACTGAAAAAATTATGAAATTTAATGAAAGTATAGTAGAAACACGTGGGAAATTTCAACTAAAAGACATTAATATATATTCTTCCACAAAAAGTGTCAAAGAATCCACACTTTGCATCAAAAACAATGAGATTCCCCCTTTAAATTCACGAAAACCTCTAATTCAGAAAGAATCTCAGATTATACGGACGACACGTTGCGAAAAAAGTTTGCAATGTTTCATTTTTTTCTTTCATACGCAAACTATATGTTTAATTTAAATAAATAAATAAATGTTAGTAATGAAATTAAAAAATAAAACAATCGTTTCATTGCAACTTAATTCTATATTATAACAGCCACACATACTCTGTGTTTCACGAGTATACTCGTCATCGCTTACTTTTTGCGACACATTTTAGGTAAATACACACTTTTCAAAGAGGTCGCAACAGTTAACTAGTTAAAGACATACATACTTTTTTTCTACAAAGAAAGCCACAGAATTCGTACGTTTCATCGAAAGAAATGAGATTTCCATCTTAGGTAACGATCGTCTCCTACGTCCTCGGACAGACTTCTACCCTGTGCTTGGAAAATCGTTTTCCCTCTTTATTGACCCTACAGTAATCACCTATGTGGATAAGATAATTCGCACGTAAGTGCGGACTACTCGAAGTTAGAACGGGTACACGTTACGTGTTGTATTTAGATACATATTAACGCATTAGAAACGATCGTGTGCACTAGCTACGAGAACTCGTAAAACGACCCTGTCGGACGTTGCTTCATTAGAGCCGTCTTTGCCGCGGTCACTTCAAGAATCCTCTGGTGCCAGATGAATATCATTAACACGCAATGTTCGAATAAATAAGCGACACGGTAGTTGAACACATAACGGAGAATGTATTAGGTGTTCCACCTTTCAGGCATTTTAAGCATCTTTTCTATCAGGTTCCGTGAAAAATTTGATTATCGTATTAGTGAATCTCGTTCACTTTTCCGATTGTAAATAGGAAAATTTGTTTTGGAGTTGCTTAGTTATTACTTTATCCAGACACCGACGGTTAATTAATAGTTCTTTAAAAGGAAATGATTAACATCCAAGGATTTCTTAATCCCTTGCACTGAATTGACGAGTCTCACTTGCGCGTGCTCTAAGCGCGAAACTGGATTTCGCAAATTGTGTTACAAACATGCTGTATCGTAACTAAAATAATGCTCTTATTTTCATAAATAAGTTTAATTGAAGCAGTGAGACTTCAATTTCCTTTAACCTGTTATCTGTGGAATTTTATTTAAAAAATCTCTCGTTTTACACGCAATAAAATAAAAAACAGAAGCGCGTACTCGTCAAACACCGGACGAATGCACCTAGGATATATTTTAATGAAAAACCAAAGTAAAACAAAGAAGAATTACATGTTTGTCTGAAAAAATCAAGAATTCATCGTTCAAAGAATTAGTATCATTTCAAGCTTTAAGATAACGTGTGTACTCGTCAAACGCAGTTAACTGGTTAAAATCGTATCCACAGAGTTGCGACAAAATTAAGCATTGTAAGCAGAAACGCTTGATTCGAAATTAATCGTCAGGCAAGGGATTAATAGGTTTGTCAATGGCAGTGGCAATCGCAATCGTGAACTGATAGATCATCTCGAGTTGCTATTTAATCCCTTACCTTGTGACATCAAATATGATACAGCAGTTTAAATAAGAGTGTGTAAATATGATTACAACTCGCTTCTTTCAAGTTCGAATTCAATATTTTCTTATATTATCAATATTCAATGAATAAATGTCTATTTTTAATGAACGAGAAATTGCATTTTCTTACTGTAAATTAATAGTCCTAAAGTAGCTCTTGTAAGAGTGGTTGATAAAAAGTCGTGATTCAAGGAGTTAATAACCTGTTTAGAAATTATTATGTAAAAATGAATGAAAGATACATTCTGTATTGACGTAGTATAGTGAGTTAGAAAATGATTCAATTTTTAGTTGTATAATTTTTCAGTTTTCAGTATTCATATAGATACGAATGTCAATTACATACGAATAGGCAAACAATTTGAAGTGATTTACCCAATAATACACGGATATACGATTTTTGTATTTACATTATGCTGCTAAAAATATTATTATAACAAATTTAAAAATGTCTGGGTAAATAAATAAAAAAAGAAAACAAATAGTAATCAATAAATGTAGATAAATACAAAGATAAGTAAAAGGTGAGGTATGTTAAATGTTAATTAATATCAATATCGATATTAATGAAGAAGTAACTCTTTAGGATAACGCATACAACATACAGCAAGACTAATTAATGATTATTATTTAATTTATAATTTTTTACAAGGAACTCTGCATCAATAATCAATGAATCATAAAAATTACTAAAGACCGTCACTAAAAAAGAATCCTTTCGAGAGAATTTTGACTTTCACTTTATTATGGATTGCCAAATTTAGTTGTACAGGTCTGGCACATACAAATCTATGAAAATGAATTATTATACATTTAATTGTGGTTCTAATACCTACGCTTGTAACATTTAGAGCAAGCACTTAATCAATTTTAATCAATTTTATCTCTAAACTTTATCAATGTAATCATAATGCTCACAGTTTTTAATCGTGTATAATAGTACTGATAAGAACAGAATAATATACCACTAATTGTTCACTACTTTACGCATTTCACACAATTAATAAAACAAAGATTTAATACACAAATGTAAACAATATATTAAGAAACTATTACCACATTTTCGGTAAATCTTTCTCAATTCCTATATATATCGCCACCTAAATACAAATTTGAATTTTGTATTTCGTTCCTTATAATCATGAACAACTAGATTACAAATATTCATGGTTCAATTCATAAACCGCAGGATCAAGTAAAAGTTTGTTTACTTCGTTGAGAGTCTAGTCAAAAATGAGATAAACTAAAAATCACATGGAATGTCGCTGAACGTTCGACTAAAACATATTTTCTACGATGATCCACGCAATAAATCCACGAAATTCACGATGCATCACGAATGTTCGAATTCTTTCGTGAATCACTGTAACCGCAGCAAGAGCAAAGCACAGGCAAAAGACAGGAGTCGCAGGCAACGCAAAGCCACATACCTGAACGAGTCGCTTCGCGTCGCTGCGATCGCGATTGTCAGGCCCCACGGCTATGTTGGTCCCCGCATTCCACCTGTCAGAAGGTGGGTCCGCTCTCTCACGGACCATAAAGGAAGCGACGAAGCCCCTAACGGCAGGAAATGTATCGCGTCCGAAAAGTTTCCCCGTTCGATTATCTCGGCGGCCAGCCTCCAATATGGCAGATCGGCACATAGATCCCGTTCCCCTATTCTCTACACTTTACATACCTCTCTAATGTCCATTTTCCATCAGCGATACGCGCCGCATGCCTGCTCGGCCCGCTCGAGGTCCCTTCGCACTTCAGTGTGTGCACGAGTTTTTGAACTCGTTCGGTATCCCTGGTCCCCGGATCGACAATAAAGAGATCCGCGACTTCTCCCGCGAACGAGTTCACGAAGCACTAGATCCTTGGTGCCGGAGACCACGCATGGGTATGGAATGTAAATGGTCCCGACAGCGGTATCGAAAAATGCGTCGATACCTACAGGAACCGAACGCGTTTCCCCGCGTTTTCTGCTCGCGCTCGCGCACAATTACACGGCCGGGTACGCTTCGCGTCGTCGACGATGAACAATGTTGAGAAACCGGGAGAAAATGAAAAACAAACAAGGGGATTTCCTCGCGATGGAAATGCTCAAACGAATTGTCGCCCCAGCAACGTTCGCCACGACAACATAACTGGACACCGGTAGGTAGGGGAACTGATCCGTGGAGGAACGAGTAGAAGGGCGGTCCCGAAGGTGAGAGGAAGGACGCAGGATTACCTGTCGGGGAGAGGGAAGAATAACCGTGCTGCCTAGGGAGGGGGAAGACCACTCTGTCCTGGCCAGGAAGGAGGATGGTCGGTAGGCGTTAGGGTTCAACACAGTTCCGCGCCTATGTACGGGCCTCTATACGCACGTGAATGTAATTGAAATATCCTTGTTTTCTTTCAGACCTTTCCTCTCCTTTTTTTTCTTACCGCGGCTATCGCGAATACTCTCGGACTCTATTTTTCCTTTCCGCGCTAATGTCTGGCTGCCGCCGCGACCCAATCGTTCTCGCGACCATCTGCAATCGTTTTATACTTTTTCTATCATATTTGCATAGGCAGATGAAACGAACTGACTTCTTTCCAGCTTTTTTTATTTCAACGTTTCCTACGAATCGTTCGATTTTGTTCACCATGTCGCTGTGTCCTTGGAGTTGTGTTTCTTTCTGGGGAGAATTTTGTTCGCCGCGCCTCGGAGGTTCATGATGTAGCATATAAACATGGAACCGAAGATGATCTTACCTCTTAGCGCATATCTCCGCGAACCATATATTTAAAAAAGGAAAATAATTGTTACGCAACCAAGGATATTCGCACGTCGAGTATCCTTTGTCTTGACCTTTACCGTACGACGATCAAGCAAGGTACACATGTAACGAGAGATGAGTTACCGTGTCGAGGACTCTTTGCTTTCATTTTCGGAGCACATACTCCTCAATTTGCAGGTGATGCGTCCAAATTGAACATCTCCGACGAGATAAAAGTGACTAAAATTTTACGCGTGCTGTTTTTTATATTAATTGAACATACGAAATATGACATTTTGACGAACTTACAGAAACCCAGCTTCCTCTCTGATTTTTGTGACTTTTGAGTATGTTGTAGAAATCAACATTTTGAATAACTTTTTCTGTTTCATATGATCAGCGGCCGAGTAAAATAAATTAACCCAAAACCTAGCTTTTATCTTTTGTTTGTATACTGCAGTGCTTCGATTAATTGAGTCGCTATTTTGTACTATCTAGATTGTACAGAATCTTGGTTACATTGAAATTCAATAATTCATATTCTTAGATCCTAGACCCTTATATACGAATATGTTTCGAAAAGTATCTTCTTAAGTATACATTTACCTGATTGTCCAACCAGACAAGACAGTAACCTATGCAAAACGTTCAGAAGTTAGCACGACGATTGACCGGCACATACGATTATCTCAGTCGCACCTAAGTTAGCTACCGTACACTTTTATTTACGTTTACTGGATCATCTCATTGTACAGACTAGTATTTGTGTCATGTTAGTTAAAACGATGAGCTAGGGCCAGCATTGTAATTGCCGTCGAGGTGTCGGCTCGGCGTTCCATAAAGAAAAGATCTCGAAGTGTTTGTTGGACTTATTTGATTGTTAAAAATTTTAGTACACAAATTGGCGAAGGATTGCGTACAATTGTAGGTATTACTCGCTTTAGAAGACTAACCTGTTTCGTGATCTTTGCCTCAGTATTTAAAGCAGGGTTGTCCAACCTTTTAATAGTATGTTTAATAGGTTTTTTAATGATAATCTCATAAAGTTACTAAGATTATAATTTTTTGTTGGACCATTTTCACAACCATCTTGGACCGCGGGTTAAACAAGCCTGATTTAAAGGATCTAAATTGAAAGGAGTGGCGAAAGAGGGTAGGAAAACTGGGAGGCTGTAATGATTTATAGATTGAATAGAGTTGTTGTTTTAAGGTCTGTCATTTTGGGTCCGGTAGCCCGTGATCTCCGACCCTATTCGCTGCAGTCCCATGAGTTTTGGAGAAAAAAGGAATTTCCCGGGTACATAATTTGACACACAACTCCCACGTTCCCAACCTTGGTCTAAAAGCTAAAACTGCACAGGGGCAAACAGAATCGGCCGCACGCTGCACCTCAGTTCTTCCAGGAAACACAGTAACTGAGCCTCCATGTCCCCGGGATTCAGTAAACATAAAAAGCCATCACCGCGCAGAAGCGAAGTCTGACACCACTGTTCGTAGATCTCGCTTCATCGCATTCCGTTTCGCTTGTGTTCTATGTTGAGCTACTCGGCCAATAACAAGACATGCCGAAACTGAGGTATCACCGTTGCCATAACTACCAAGCCAAGCGTTGCAAGTGGATGTCTCCTCCTGCCCCTGTGCACTTTTAACTTGGTGATCGCGTGTACGGACAAAAGAGGCGAACTGTGTGTGCAAGATTCGATGTTCTAGTTCCGGCAATTTGTTAATCAATATCTTGGGAACTAAGGCAGATTGCGGATAACACGTAGAGAAAAAAGTTGTTTTACAAACTTCATATAAATATTGCACGTAGAAACATACGCATTTGCAGAAATTCTTATCTTGGCATTCATATCTCGACAGGTGGACTGCAATCATAATGATATGTCTTCGTGATTATAAACCTGATCACATTCAATGTTACAATTTTGTTTTGTGATTAGCACGGCTTTCGTTGATTCGGTAGTTAACCTAGATTTCTTCTGAGACCTCATGCTGTCCATAACAACAAATATTTTAGTAAATTATATTGTAAGACTTACACTTAACTGCATATCATGGTACTTATACAAATAGGACAAAATGGAAGTTTATATTAAAAAGATAGAACAGCGAAACAGAAATGATACGATACTCTCCCGTTCAAAAGGGAACGTATTAACGCAATAATAATTACAATTGAAACTAGTAGTTAAAGTAATCGATTTCCATAAATGTTAAAATGTTTAGTGTTATAATAATGAACATGAATGTTACTTCACAATAATATGAACAGCAATATAACTGTACTATAAACAAGTATGAATGGTCCTAGTACGTAGAACTGTACCGTGCATATTCAATGAATCCCCACCTGTGAAGACTGAAAGACGTAGTGCACTGCGTCATTGATAGTGAAAGTTTCTGTATGATGTTCATTTAGGTGTAATTACCGACGAATAAAACATAAAAATGAAAAAGAACAGGTATTGTTAAACTAAAAATGAAAAAAAACGATAACGAGTGAAATGAAAAATAAGATGAAAGAAATGGTAGTTTGAACTATTACAATTTACAGAATTCGAAATTTACCACATATAAAAAGCACAATTAATACACAACATTTTTTTAATAACCATCTTCAACACATATCAAAATTATTTGATAAATATAAAAACGTTCCATATTATTTCCTGTTTTCCTATTTTATAATATATCTTGAGCGTATATACCAATATCACATTTAATTAAAAATAAATGTATTTTACATAATACCATAAAAGAAAGATTGTAATTAAGAATGTAGTGAAGAGTAAAAGTGGAAACAATAATATTATAAGCTTTCGAATTGCCTAATAAAGAATACAATTACTTGATCTTTATAACAATATAATTACGATTATATAAGAACTTCACCTTACATTTGTCCTTAATACTTAGTAGTTTTTACATGTTTAATATTTTTTCATTGTATCAGTTACAATTTATCGAGAAACACAAATTACGCATATTATATATTTATGTAAATACTTATCCTTATTAATCCTTCCGTATAATACAATTTATAATCTGAGACATCTTTGCAAAATGAAAGACAAGGCGAAAGAATTAATTACTGCGTTAATGCGAATAATTTCACAGTAATAAATGTGTGCATAGTTTCTTTAAAACTATGCAAACTTTTCCTCCATGCAACAACTTTATCTTAAATCTTGACCTTGTATAAGGAATTTTGCACCACGCGATTTATATTACGGTTAATCATGATAAGTCTGCTCTTGATCGTATTCCTTTCATCTTTATTAGATTTATCGTACGTTAACGTATCAAACTCGAGTTGAAGTAGACCTCTTTATCTGATGGAACACTTAAAATCTTTTAGAACATATCCAGGAAGTAATTTTTAAATAATTAAAAGTTAGAATAAGGGAGCATAAAAAATTAGGGATAATTTACTTATAAAATTTTCTCGAAAATTTAGTGATTTCAATAATATAATCTAGTTTTCAAATAAATGATAATTATATAAATTACTATTTTTGATAGTTATTCCTAGAAATAAAAAATTATGTTACTACTAATAACTAAATTAATTATAATACTGAACATAATTTTAAGAACTTATGCAGTAGTTACAAATGAACAAAAATTAACGTTCACTATATATATCATTTAATATAAAATGATTGCTTTTTATTTGTACAATCGAATAATAGTAAAATGCAATTACGCGAGGATGATTTGTTGTCAAATAGCGAAGCTCAACACAATTGTGTTTGTGTTTACAATGCGTGACCAACATTTCCTTTTTCACTTCGACTGCAACATTGCATTGTTGTATCACCCATAATTAAGAGATACCAAACTTAAGTATATGCAACAATGTAAATAACAGTATTGTTCATTACATTTCCACATTTCAAAATTATTAAACTTTTATTTTAAAACTAAGTAAAAATGGTGTAAGATCTTAACTAATTTAGACATTTGTATACTTAAATATTTAAATACTAAATTTTAAATATTGAAGTTAAAATAAAAATTTTTAATCTTAAAACTTCATAAACTCTAAACAACGAAAAGATTATTTCTTAATTAAAACAAAATACGCGAAATAAAAAACTAATTGGTAAAACTTTTATTCTAATTTTAACAGAGAAAATGTTAAATGGAAAAATACATTTTTATTTATTTCTTACTTTTCATGACTAATTTATAAAATTTTGTATTTTTCAATATACCATTCATACATGTTATAATATTGTTCACTTTTTTGCACTTTTCTTTGTATGCATAATTAATAAACAGAGTGTACACATGTTTTTACTTAAGAATATTAATTTTCTAAAGAATTTTTTAATTTTTACATTTTCACTTTCCCATTTTTGCTTTTACTTCCCTTCCATTAAGGATCCCTGCTGTATAAATTCTGCAAATTATAAGAAATATTAGCGAAACATATCTAGTGCAAAGAGGATATCAGATTTATTTATTATATGATCGAATGCATTCATAGAAGGAGAAAAATTATACCTACCGTCACCACCGAGTGTACCACAAAATTACATAATAATTCCTTTTGCGATTGAGGCCAATCGCGTTGCGTAAAAGATTCACGGAGTTTGTTAAGCTCTGACTGTACATAACTCTAATAATAAATGTACGATTTATGGAAACCTACACAGATATTTAAAAAGGAATATTAGGAATGTATAAAGCTTTATAAACAAAAGTGAATGCTTTTATTTATCCTTATTAAAATATAATAGCGAATTCGTATAGTTAATGGTAAATTCAATAAGTAAAAATCATGGAGAATATTGTTTGAATCTAATAAAAATATTTAAACAAACAAATGAAAATTATTATGTACCATATAATATGAAAATAAATAAGAATTTTAATGTATCAAATTGTATACACAATATATGTATACCTATTGTAAATATAAATATATATTATATATATGCAATGCACATATTATTTTAATCCATTAAAATAATTAATTGTTTTTTATTTGTATAAACGTGTATCACTTAAGTAATAATTTTCTAAAAAATATTTCTTATATTCTGAAAAATCTTATTTCCAGTAAAATACAGCTATTATTAACAATAATGCATAAATTAGAATAAAAAAATGTAGTAGTCTCTATTATCTACTTGTACATATATAGTGTATTACCTACTGTTGAATTCTATATAGTGTTTGCGTACTTAACCTCATCAACAGAACCATCAGAAAAACGTGTAGTGATATATATTAAAAAACAATGGCAACAATAATGGAATTAATTAATTTTTATGACCACAGTTCAAAGGAATACGAGCAACTGTTACAGGACTTAATATGTTCTAATGGAGATATACCATTTAATATAGAAGAAGTAAAAAGAAATCTGAAATACCTTCTTAGTTTAGGATCTTAGATTCTCAATAACTTTTAACATAATTTTACTATTTTCAGTTAAAAAATTAATTTAACATCTTTAATTATATTATTTTTATTTTAGGTTGACGAAGCACAAAGTGTAATTATATCAACTATTAATAATTACTTAAATCGAGCTCACACAAGATATAATGGTTTAGTAATTTTAGATAAGAGTTTGTCACAATGTTCAAAAGATATACTTTTAAAATATAGCATCCTATGGATGTCAAAAGCCACACAAGTATTAGAAAGTATTCATAGTGTTCCACAAGAGTTGAATATCTCTTGCAAAGTGCTTGGACAATTAATTATACAAACAAAGGAGATTCCTGAAATACAGAAACAAGTATCTATGCAAAATGTGAAACAACTTGTAAATGCTATTGGGAATTTAGATTCAGAAAAACATTGTGGTTCAGTATATTATTTAATTGCCGTGTTATTACATCAATATCCTGAAGTATGTGAGCGTTTCCAAGTAAGTTTCCAAGATGAAGTTTCTTTATAGTGTTAAAATAAATTGCACAATAAATATTAATTATCTTACTATTGCAGGTAACTTTGAAAAGTCTAATACTACCACAAATTGATTCCACTCAAGAAAATGTAGTTAATTCTAGTGCAAGATGTTATGCGCTTTTAGCTAAAGCTACAGAACGTTCATTTAAACCACCAGTTTCAAAGCCCACTTATACTGGATGGTTATATCACCAAGCGCTTATTTGTAATAATTTACATACTATAATGGACATATTGTTTTCTAATTTGATAGAACTACAAAATGTAAGAATTTGGGATAAATTAGATTTACCGAATATATCTGAAGAAAATATTATTCAATTTTACTTCAAACAAAAGCGAAGATTTTTAAATCTGTGTTCTTATTTATCTTGTATGTTACGGTAAGTAAACAATATTATTACATATATTTTTATTAATACATATGTCTTGGAAAAGATGTTAATCTTTAAATAATTTATATTTTAAAGTGGATTTGATAAAAAGAATTCAGTATTACCCAATGAGATTTTGAAAGTTTTATGTAGAGGATTAGCAATACAACCTTCAAATCTAAAAAAACAAAATTCTGTTAAAGAACAAATGTTGTATCTTATATTACCACAGTTGCACATTGCTTTGTTTAATGTGTTGGATGCATTAATAAATGGGTAAGAATATGTTCATACAAAAAGAAGTACTTAAATAATATTTAAATTGAAATTCATTAACTTAAAATACTTAGATTCAAGGAGCAGTTAATACCGTTTGGGTCAACAATATTACAATTATTTCTTCAATCATTACAATGGACTGAAACAGTTTTAAAAGATAAAATAACCCTGAGTGGTGATAAACCATTCAAAAATGTACGAATATCTGTTTATAAGTGTCTTACATCTTGGCTAGTGAATACTAACTCACTGTCAGGTATAGAGACAATTGCTGATGAATATCTTCCTTCTATGTTAAAAGATATTGTACCAGAAAAAGATTGTGTTTTATTAACTGTAAGTTCAAGTTAAATTGAAATCTGTTTTAATTAATAAACTGCAAAATTAAATAATACAATAAAAACATATTTAATATTAATAAAAACATATTTCAAACTTTTATTGTAGATACAAAAAACTCACAATTTATCAAAAAGAGCATTGAAACGTCTTCGAGATAGTCAATATGAGAAAGGTACATATTTAGGTAATGGATTGACGTCCAGCAAAGAATATTATTTAGACACAGATATATGTAAAGGGTCTCTTACTGTGTTGCAAAATATATTTTTCAATGGTGGAACTTGTTTGAAGCAAACATTTTTTAAAGTAAGCTGTTTATATTTTTGCAGCTTTTACTTTAATTCAATATTTTACATAATGATAATGTTCACAGACAATACAAAATATGATAATACCTCTTTTATATGACTGTTACTTGAGTTCTGTAGAGCAGAAATTTTATAAAGAAAATTCTGATTGCCGTTTGCAATTACTAAGACTTTTGAGAGCTTTACAAATTAATCCGCATTGTTCAGTGCCTTTGCCTACACAATATTCTTTACAAATATTTGAAATGGCTTTACACGACACTAACTTGAACATTACGCAAGAAGCAAAAATTGCATTAGCAGAATTAGATAAAATTGTACATCCCCATGCGCCATCCATACAATTAACTCAAGTAGAGTAAGTTATATATATCTATTTACTTTCCTATATAAATTTCAGTACCTTAATAAGTCTTATTTTGATTTATTAAAATAAGTTATAAATTAAAAATAATATTTTTCAGAATAATACAGAAGGAATTTGTTGCTGAAAATCGAAGTGCAGAGCATAGAGAGACAGGAGATACATATTCAGTTGATACTGAAAATGTGGTAATTCAAGATACAGTTTCAGTCGATGCTGAAAATGTGATAGTTCAAGATACAGAACTATCATCAAATACAAACAATGAAGGAAATTCTCATCCCGAGGAAAATATTTTAGATGAAGATATGATACCATCTTCAAATAAAAGATTAAAAATAGTAGATTTACATCTAGATAAATCAGTTAAATCTACTCTAAAAACTAGTGATATAAATATTAATGAAAATATTTCAGATGACTTACAGCCAGTACAAGAAAATAGAATAGAAAATGAAGAACTCATGGAAATTCCAAATAAATCATTAGACGAGGCTGAAATGGAGCTAATTTTAAAGGATACAGCAAAAAGTATAGATAGTGAAATGAAATCAACATCACCAATTCTCAGTAAAGAAACTGATGATTCTCAATTAAATAAAATAGATCCCTCTGGAAATGATCACCAAAATCAACAAAACAATCTTGATATGAAGGAAGTCTCTCAAGAACATTTATCGATAGAGAGTGAAAAGGAAGAAGAAATTTTACAGTTGTTTCAGGATGTACCAAAAAATGATGTTTGATTATAGTGTTTCTATTTTTTAAATGCAGAACAAACATATTATTTTATTGATCAAATAAATCTTGTTTACTCTTCAAATTGTTCACTGCATTTATGTTACTTATGATTGTACACCTTATATCTTTTGAATTTCCTTAATATTAATACCCTTTTTAATTTATTGAAACAAAGAAATTGAGTACTGTAGATTATATAATGTTTCGAAATAACACTTGTAAAGAAGTTATTTATATTCAAAAATGCTTTACATTAGAATAATCAAAAATTAGATTCTTAATTTCCAACAAATTTATCTATTATGCTTATAAACGCATCCTTCATATAAAAGAGCACATAAAACTAGACTAAATTTCTTAGTTAACACCTTTTCTTCAATCATTATTTGTATCAGCCTATATCAATTACTCGATGTTTATACAACTTTTTATTCGTTTGATCATCTGCATACATATCTATCATTCCTTAATCCCAAAAATATTATTAAAGCTTTATATTTTTCTTAAATCTATAATGATACTATCACAGATGAGATATACCTGATACTATGCAAAAATACTTTCTATAACTTCTGCTACATCAAAAACATTAACATAACATAAATTTTTGAAAATATTGTATACCTTGAATAACATTATTAAAATAAGCAATGAATCAATTTTTCTAAACGATATGAGCATTGATAAGACGTATACAAGAGAGAATAATATATCTAAAATAAAATTTAAGTTTAATTTTTATAATTTTTTACTAATTCATTAAAATTACTATGAAATATATTTATTTGTAATAAGTACTTAAATACAACATATTTTTAAATTGACTATATTGGCGGACGCAGTGCAACCAACTTAAAAATTGTAAAATGTAGCGATTTCCGGCTGCGTCTTTCTCTGTTTGATATCGGTTCACTTGGTATGAGATGTGTTATTTGTTTCCTTGCTAAAATCGTCTTAATTCTGTAAAATTAAAATGCATCCAACATAAAGATGTTGTAATTAAAGAAGTTCAATCGATTCTTTACATGTTTCCACAAATATTTTTAGATAAATTTTAGAAAAATTGTGTTATATATTTCAGTTGTCCTGTTTTAAGGTTATATTGTGCCAACCAGCATAGTGTCACGTTTCGTGTTACTGTAGGTGCTTCAATAAACAAGTGTTTGAACGTGTTCAATTACTTTTGTGCAGGTTTTAAACCATGGGTCGAGTAATTCGTGCTCAGCGTAAGGGTGCTGGGTCTGTCTTTAGATCCCACACGAAAAGAAGAAAGGGAGCACCTAAACTTCGTTCTCTGGATTATTCTGAAAGGCATGGGTATATCAAGGGTGTTGTGAAGGTTTGTATAATTTTCTGAATGTAGAAAATTTTAAAGCTTTTAAATGTATATTATGTTAAAACATTTATGATGAATTCTATTAAATTTGCTCTGATTGAAACTGAAGTAAATATTAGAGGCTCTTTCTGAAAATGTATTTATATTAAAAAAGAACATTCACAATAAATGACATGTTTTATATAATAATTTTTTCTTTGTATAGGATATTCTTCATGACCCTGGTCGTGGAGCACCTTTAGCTGTTGTTCATTTCCGTGACCCCTACAAGTTTAAGACGCGTAAAGAATTATTTATTGCCCCTGAAGGAATGTACACTGGACAATTTCTTTATTGCGGAAAGAAAGGTAAATGAATAAATGTTAAAATATTTGTTGCATCGAACATTGTAATTTTATGAAGGAATATGGAAATGTGTATTTCAGCAAATCTTCAGATTGGAAACGTGATGCCTGTTGGTCAGATGCCCGAAGGTACCATTGTTTGTAATTTGGAAGAAAAGACTGGTGATAGAGGCAGATTGGCTAGGGCATCTGGAAATTATGCTACAGTTATAGCCCACAATCCTGATACAAAGAAAACTAGAGTGAAACTTCCATCTGGAGCTAAGAAGGTCATTCCATCCAACAACAGAGCAATGGTTGGCATTGTTGCTGGTGGTGGAAGAATTGACAAGCCAATTCTTAAAGCTGGTCGTGCTTATCACAAATACAAGGCAAAGAGGAATTGCTGGCCCAAGGTACAGTATTTAATGATATGTATAAATTTTAATATTTGATATTATGCTTTAATATTCGACTATGATGTTTTTAGACATTTGAAACCTGAATAATTTATTGTAGAAAATTTTTACTGAGTCACCTTAATATTTATTAGAAGTTAATCCCGTTAATGCATCGTTTTTAAAACACTTTAAACAATTTTTAGGTTCGTGGTGTTGCTATGAACCCTGTTGAGCATCCCCACGGTGGTGGTAACCATCAACATATTGGTAAAGCATCCACAGTTAAACGTGGAACAAGCGCTGGTCGTAAGATTGGTCTTATTGCTGCGCGTCGTACCGGAAGAATCAGAGGAGGAAAAACCGACACCAAGAAAGACGATTAGATTAAATGCTGATTAAATTTTGGAACTTGTACAATAAAAACACTAAAATAACATTGCTTTATGTGTAAATTTATTTATTTCAATACCTATATTTTATATAATCCATTTCCTCTTTAAAATTAAAAAATTTGGAAATATATTAAATGTTCTTTTTAATTTGATATTATAATTTTTTATATTAAAGTCTGAACCTAGCTATATAATCCGTTTTGGAATCTGAATATAGCCATCTTGAACATAGGTATTAATAACCAGTAAATTGAATGGGTAACACGAATAAGTTCACAAATTTAATTTCAATATTATGTATCAGATATAAATCTAAGTTTTAAAGTCTATTAGGATGAGAATAATAGGAACGATAAATGCCAAGAAAATTGTCCAGTAGAGTGTGCTCTTATAGTTTTCGCAATATCCGGCGGAAATAAGTTGTCAGCCATCTTGCTAGCAGTATTTCGGCGCTCGGCCATTTTTGTTGCGTCGACGTCAAGTGTGGCCAGAGGCCTTTCATAGTAGTCAGTCTTCGAATTTCCTTTGCATCGAAGTAGCGACAAGCGGACACTGTAATTATAACAACTTGACTTAATTGACAAGTTTCCTTCGTAGATCAGCAAGGAGCGGAAGGAGAGAGGAAAGTAGCGAACAATTAAAATTTTTTGCTTGGTGATTGTCTAGGCGAGAAACAGCTAAAGAGATTCTGCGGCAGAGCCACGAAAAATACGCACCGAGGCGGAGTAATATGAGTAATGCAGCCAACCAGAATGGATCAGGTCTAGAGCAGCAGGTAAAATAGTGAAATAATTTTGCCTTTTATATTTTTGACAACCGTTGCTTCGACGCTACGTTTCTCTATTCGCCCTATCTATTCAGTCCTTCATTGTTCCGTGCTATTTGAAACTTTTGTTTGAAGCAATCATGCTAGAATGCACATAGGCGTCATTTGATAGCCTGTGTCTATCTAAATTATTTAATCCCGCGTCTTACTTTCGTTATAAAAAAATTTATAGACTCGGGTCATTGTTGAGATCGTTTATGACGTACAGCTTTGTAATGGCGGCAACCAATTCCGGGAACAGCATGCCTCGTGCCATGACGCATTCTCGTATTGCTTTTATATCGTGTTGTATTTCTCATGATTAAGTATATTATACGCGCAATACATATTTTTTATTTTTATTTTTTATGACCTAGTTAATTACAACTACCAAATCTAAATATTTTTACACGTCTAAATTTTAGTTGCATTCTAATAACGACTTTTCTCATATGAGTAGTATATGTCGACAATGATTTAACATTATTCGATTAAAGTTTTACAATCCAACTTGTATATTTTTTCTTTTATGAATTAATAAGAAATTTTAATTTTATAATACTTTAAAATTTTTATTTATAATATATTTTATAGATAATAATTTTAACGAGTTACATTTTATGTTTTAGTTAGCTGGTCTGGACTTGTCAGGCTCCCGCCAACCAAGTGGGGGCCGTTACATACCACCACACCTAAGAAATAAATCTGGAAGTAAATATTTTTTTCAGATTTTATTTTTAATATCTATTACGTATTATTTAAAAACACAAATCAGGTTTAATGTTTCCTTTGCATTTTAATATTTTTACTAAATATTTAGTAAGTTGAGGTGTTGCTACTGAGAGGATTTTAGAGTCAGTAGAACTTCTTGGTGATCCTGTATTCATTAATCAGGAGTACGTACAGATGTTACAGGATACAAAAAAAACTAAACTATTGATTATTTATAGGTAACGGACCTTCTGCAGGAGATCAACATTCTTCCTCTTCGAGATCATATTCTGAGAGAGATAGAGGAGGCGGTGAACGTGATCGCGAGAGGGAAAGAGACAGGGGCAGAGGTGGATCATCAAGCTATAGAGATTCACGAAGTTCTCGTGATGTTGACTTCGGCAACTTTGGGAACTATGGTGGACGTAACAGACGAAGTGCAGCCGAAGAAAATGGAAGAGATTATAGATACCCCAATTCCGAGCGCGATCGACCTCGTGATCGCCCGATTAGCTCCGGCAATGATCGTTGGCCAGAGCCTAGGAATAACCGTTGGCCAGAGACAAGACAAAACGATCATAGATCAGGAGGTAGCGGCGGTGCTGTTAGGTGGAAGGAAATTGACTGGACGATTCCTACTTCCAGAGATGAGCGATTGGAGGTGGAATTATTTGGCACTGGTAATACTGGTATTAACTTTAGTAAATATGAGGATATCCCAGTTGAGGCTACTGGAGACAATATACCTCCACACATCACATCTGTAAGTTCTAAACTATCGTCGTAATACGTAAAGCTAATAATAATAATAATAATAATAATAATAATAATAATAATAATAATCATTATTAGCGCAAATTGTTTATTTATTGCATTTTGATAGTTCGACGAGGTTCAGCTGACGGAGATAATAAAGAACAGCATTGGTTTGGCTGGTTATGATAAGCCTACACCCGTGCAGAAGTATGCGATACCGATCATCATTGGACGTCGTGATGTTATGGCCTGTGCCCAAACAGGGTCTGGTAAAACAGCGGCTTTTTTAGTGCCAATATTGAATCAGATTTATGAAAGTGGGCCACGTCCACCGCCACCACATGTCAATTCTTCTGGCAAGCGTAAACAGTATCCACTAGGTCTAGTATTAGCACCTACAAGAGAGCTTGCCACTCAAATATATGACGAAGCAAGGAAATTTGCATACAGATCACGTATGCGCCCTGCTGTTGTATATGGTGGTTCCAATATTGTAGACCAAATGCGAGAATTAGATCGTGGCTGCCATCTTCTTGTAGCAACACCTGGCCGTCTCGTAGACATGTTGTGCCGGGGTAAAATTGGTTTACATAATTGTCGGTACGTACATTTTATAACAAATACTACGAGTAAACATTTTAAACCATTTTAATGTTTATTTTCAATAATATGTAGCTTGGAATATAATAATAAATTTAATATTACAGATATTTAGTATTGGATGAAGCAGATCGTATGTTGGATATGGGTTTTGAACCACAAATACGACGTATAGTCCAAGAAGATACAATGCCTCCAACTGGGGAGAGACAAACACTTATGTTCTCAGCTACGTTTCCCAAGGAGATACAGATGTTGGCAAGGGATTTCCTTAGCAATTATATCTTCTTAGCTGTAGGCCGTGTAGGCTCTACATCTGAAAATATTACTCAGAAAATTGTGTGGGTGGAAGAACATGATAAACGTTCATATTTGCTTGATTTGCTTCAAGCTAGCAACTTATCAGATCCTTGTAAGTTAGCATATTTATAATGTATATAATAATATAGTTTGTTTGCACTTGTCAGTTTGCATTATTTCTTAAAGTATTGAAGGTAGAAATAAATGTTCATGCAAAAATGATATGGTATGAGAGGATAAATTTTTTAATAGGACTGAATTTTTCTACTTATATTGTTAATTTAATATTTAAATAAACTTTTAATATTCTAAAAGATAATAGTCTGAACATTTATGCATGAACACAGCGTACAATAGATTGTGATCAAGTAATTACATTACACTTTTAGCTACTGAATCATTAACGCTCGTTTTCGTGGAGACAAAGAAGGGTGCAGATATGTTAGAAGAGTATTTACACTCAATGGGATATCCGGTTACCAGTATTCATGGTGATCGCACTCAACGTGAACGAGAAGATGCTTTGCGTCGTTTCCGTGCTGGTAAAACGCCAATACTTGTTGCAACTGCTGTTGCTGCCCGTGGTCTCGATATTCCGCATGTAAAACATGTAATTAATTTCGATTTACCGGGCGACGTGGAAGAGTACGTCCACAGAATTGGTCGTACTGGTCGCATGGGCAATTTAGGTCTGTTTTCGTTTCTATTTCTCTCGTTCGTGTTATATAAGCCCTGTAGTAATGCACTTTTATTTCTGTAATAGGTCTAGCAACCTCATTTTTCAACAGTAAGAATCAGAACTTGGTGCGTGATTTGGTGTCTTTATTGATTGAGGCTAACCAAGAACTCCCACCATGGCTGGACGATTTGTTCAGCGAAGTAAGGTATTCTGGAGGTGGATCTCGACGTGCTGGTGGCAGTACTAAAGGGCGATTTAGCGGTGGGTTCGGTGCAAGAGATTACCGTCAACAACCCAGCTCTGGACCCGTTCGTAATAACGGTTCCTCTAACAGACCTGGTGGTTATGGAGGTAAGTATTTGTACATTCTCGTGGGAAATATTAAGTCTTACTGTCAGTTATCAACTTGTGCATAAATTTCGATGTGTCTGTATTCTTTTCTCCTAGTATGTGTATATTTACATACTATTCATATTTTCAAGGTTATCACCTTGTCATTCACTTTATCATCAAATTGTATCTCAAATATTTTACACTGTTCTATACAAAGCTTTTTGATAATTCTTTTATTGACAAGCATTAAAGTTTAAAACTTCAATTACATTTTCTTTTAAAGGAACCTGTCTACTTAGAAGTATATTTACATAAACATATTTCTTTTTTGTAGGTAACTACGGAGGTTATGGCGGGAATTATAATAATTCATCGCATAATAATTCTGCTAACAACGGAAGCAGCAATGGCACCGATTGGTGGGGGGAGGTATGGGACAAGTAATCATCGCCATTTAAATTTCCACCCTTACCATTATTATTACTGTACACGTAAATTCAAATATATGTAAGAAAGACACGTACGACATACACATCATACGCAATACGCGTGTATTTCTGCGCGTATACACACACGTGACAAGAGACAGACAGACACACGCACGCACGCGAAACAAAAGAGACAGACATACACGCGCACGAAACAAGAGACAGACACACGCACATAAACAAAAGACAGACAGT